ATCGCTCCTTACAGGCGGTGGCGCTCTGGAACGATCACCCTCCCTACTTGCGCTTCCTTGACTTTGTTGATGTTTTAAAGAGCGCACTGGTCTCTCAGGTTTATTTTAAATGTTTTAAAGGCCACTAATAAGCTGAATAATTTACATTGCAGCTTCTGATTCTTATAGCTCTAACTTCCACATATGAGGTCTGTTGTGTTTATGTCTTAAGAGAGTCAGTAAACAGCAGGCATTGGTCCTGGTTCAGTTTAAAAACATAATCAGCTGTTTAAATATGGAGAGGTCTGCTGGGCTGTTTTAATCCAGCTGCAACCTTTAGAACGAGCCCTGCTATCAGAGGTGATTATCAGAGAACATGTTTAGTGTTTTATGATGCTTCTATCACACATCATTGGATTGTTATTAATATTTGTGCCTGTAGTTGCCTGGGGATCGTACTTTGATCACGCCTCAGCCTGGAACAAGAAGATGGACGACCCCAACGTCATGGTGGTCACCTATGAAGAGCTGAAACAGGTCGACCTTTTGGTTACTGGACTGATTCTCTGAATTTATCCACTTAAATGAAAATCTGCTCATAGATGATGTCTTCTGCCTTGTAGGATCTCAGCAAAGGCATCCGCCAGATCTCCAGCTTCCTGGGCTTTAGCCTGACGGACGCTCAGGTGCAGCAGATTGCAGAAGCGAGCACCTTCAAGGCCATGAAGGAGAGTTCAGCCAACTCCCACGGAAACATGGGGAATGTCTTCTTCAGGAAAGGTGTCCAAGCTTCAAATCATTTTAAGAACAGTTAGGGGGAGTAGAAATTCATTATTTTCCTCTAGACCAGGGGTTGGCAACCCAAACTGCTCAAACAGTCATATTGGACCAAAAAACAAATCAGTTTGGAGACGCCAAAATATAAAAGTCTTCTATAAGCCTCGTATTGCGACACAGGCTGTAAGCCCACTATAAGAAAGGACTAAGTGGGCTTCAATATATAATTAGCATTCATGATTAAATGTTTATCCTGGAGCAAATGTAACATCATGTGACTCTGCTGTACGATATCTGGTGCTTTAAGTTTAAATTCCATTACAATATTAATGTTTTAGGTTTGGTTGCATTGATGAAACTATAGCAACACATTAAAGAAATCAGATTTTTTTCAATGTTATTTTTATTTTGAGAATTTGGGGGGAAAAAATGGAAGAAAGTTCCCATCCCTGCATCAGAGCACTACCAGTTCCTTCTGTGGACGTTTTTCATGCTTGCAACTTAACTAGCAGCAGACGTTCTGCAATCGCACTTTTTCTCTCACTGCCAACTTGGTAGTCGGCTGCATATTTAGCTAGCCTGGTGAGACCATCCTGATCTCGCGAGCTTTCAAGGTTTCACTCGCAGATCAGTCTGGAGACTCTC